AAAAAAAAAGATCCAAAAGAATTTTTCTACGATATCTCCGTTAAAGTACTGCCATTTTTTTAACATTTACAAGTGGATGTTAAATTGTAGACGCACGAATTTTACAGCAAATTTTGGAAAAAAAGAGATTTCGAGATCTCATTATCGCTTTTAACTTCCACGGACGATCGGTTTTGTTCTTAGCGTTCAGAGAAATATTTATTAAAATAGCTGCATTATTATTTCTGAATAAATTTAATTTCTGAATAAATTTAAATTTATCATTTATCGGAAAAATAAAAAGATTTATTATTTAATTTATCAGTAAATGTGTTACTTAACTATTTGTACAATATATAATAGAATATTGATATATTGTACAATATAGAATATTGATACGGTTATAACAAATTTATATTACTATATATTAAAACCCGATGGCAATATGTAACAAAATCAATGAGTTATATTATTTTTTTAACCGCTTTCCGCCAATATTCGCGTTTTGCCAATATTTTCGGAAAGAAATGAATCGCGCGCATATATTATGTTCTGCGATCGTCCAGGGATTACAACGACCGCGGAAGAGAACAATCCGTGCTTCCCGATAAGAACGCTTTATTGGACTAGATTTTCGTCCTCGTTTAATTCTTTGCCTAAACCGAGTAGATATTTCGAGCCGACGACGTCGTTTGGTCTCCTTCCGGATACGGCCATTTCACCCGTTGCCAGCTTCCAGCCTCGTTTCCCGATGCCGAAGCTGAAGGGCTGGCCGCCGCGTTTGTCGTCTATAAAGTCGTCCAGGTTATCCTCGCGAGAATGATAGCCTTCCATGTTGTCAACCGAGAAATAGTCCATACTCAGGGGACGATATCCATTATTACGCTTCCCTATGCCGAACCTGTAGTCCCTGAGACGTTTTCCGATACCGAACGAGAACGGTCGCGTCCGCTGCAAATAAAGTTTTAATGCAAAATAATACGAGTATAATTATGACAAATTAATTTTATTTTTACTCAAGATATATTTTGTTTCTTATGCATTGTTCAATGTCGGGAAATATTAAATGACGATCTAATTAATAAAGTAATAAAGACTTATGTTGCCTAGTGACTTATTATGCGAATTTTTTATATATCTCATGAATATCTGATCTGACCATCTTTAACCAGATTCCAATCTTATAACAAAGCAAATGTTCGTTGAGAAATTGAACGTTTTATTTTCATCCGGAACTCACTTTATCCTCGCTATTGTCGATCCATCGCTTTCCGATACCGAAGTTGTAAAGAGGTAGCCTCTTGTACTCGGAGATGTAAGCATACGCCCTTTTTTCAGAGGGTTTGTCGTACTCCAAGCTGCCCGATAACGGATTCAATCGTGGAATATGCAAAGACGAGACCGGTGCCTCCTCTACTGCCGCTGTTGATGGCCCAACGACGCTCAACAGGTAGAACATAATGATTTTCATAGCGATCAGACTCGTCTTAGACTTCATGATGCTACTTCGGATCTATCTGAAAGTATAAAAGTCGCGCGAAATTGTAATTTATAACCGACTGCCAGTATTCGGATATCACGGAATAGAATTTCATCCTGTTGACAATGTCATACAAACTTCCACGGCAGTTCGAGATTGAGTTTTCAAATTCATTCACGCGCGCGAAATCAGCATTCTTGTTGAAATTGCAAGAGAGAATTAGTTCAATCTCTATCAAATTATACATTTAGATTGCATAATAACTATTTATCCATGCGGTAGTTTCTCGATATGTCGAATTGTATCTTCGAAATTATATGCGCGAGAAATTTGCGCAATATCTATATTTTATGCACATAAGAAGGGTGTAATTCAAATAACAATGAGCATTTTATTTCCAATGGTAATTGCTCTTACAACGCGTTTTGCGGAAATTTATATCTGTTACAAAATGGATTTAGCAGAATATAAAAATGCGTTAAAGCAATATCCCGCGAAAGAATTTACAAGCATTTCAAAGAACAGATGTACGCAAATGGAATTCTGGCATGTAAAAATAAAATAAGAAGTTATTTATACGACTGGCAGAGAAATGAATGCCATTGCAATAGAAGAATAGCTTTTACTCGTAGAGGTGCCGTGTCAATTTTACGACAAGGATTCTCTCAGTCGCATTCTCTCAGCACCCTACTTCCTTGCCGAGGTATTTTCATCTGTCACCGGATCGGAGTCCCGTTAAATCTGGATAAAATCATAGGGTGGTTTTTTTATCTTTACCTCTGTTTTCTGCGAATAACATTTTTTTCGTAATTTATGAGATAATATAATTATCAGATTCTATCGAAAGAAGAGCGCGCGCCAATTAAATCGTGGATATATCTCTTTTTCCACTCACATAACATTTATGCAATTCATGAGATAAAATTATCGTTGATTCAAAGATTCTACTAAAATATTTTAAAAAATACAAAACAAATATGTCAATTTTATTTTATTAAAAATCTGTCTGTTACATAAATATACCCGCACACATAGTTATACCATTTGAAACAAACATTCCCATTAATTTAAAAGTGAAGTCATTGTTGCGCATTATGACTCTGCGATTTCAATATACATGATCAAATATTTAATAGTTGCAATGGAATGACGAAAGAGCGAGCGGTCTGGCATGATTGGATGTCGCGAGACTATGGACCACTAAACCCGAAATCCCGTAGGGACAGTTCGTTCAATATTTGATGGTGAAATCCGACGGACCCTTCTTCGTCCTGCTTGATCACTGCTTTTGAAGAGACTCGAACGGGTCAAGAGAAAGAATACAAAGTCGATAAATATTGATAAAAATTGCAACAATTAATAAAAATCTACTATCAACAAGGCACACATTTCGAATACGATAAATACTTAAATATATCGTCTCACATGCACTTTTATCATAGAAATCTTCGTAACTTCTTTTTATTCATTTAATGTCAAACATATTAATGAGCTAAATCTATATAAAAGCAATTAAAAGATGTTTATTAAGCAAGTAAAACTTGCAAGATTCACACGTAGTTTGCAATATTTAATTTTGACGAATTGTCAATTTATATCATATCAAGCATTATTTATACCATTAATATTAATTAAATTTTATATAAATTTTATAAATCAATAAAAAATTAAATATAAATTAAAATGAATAATACATATTATACCATTAAAAGAAAATAATAATTGAGAAATGTAATAAGCGTTTTTTGCAATCCGATCCGGTTTGTCTACAATGCTAGCTTGTAATTGCCAGTGAACGAGAGCCAATGAAGATTTCATAGCGATTATATATAATGACATTAAAAAAGTATTTATTTTTATTATACACAGTATTATAGTATCATAATTATATCATAATTATATTCATATAATTTCTGATAATAATATTGGACGTAACTGCAAATACCAGTTTGTCATCCTGTATATTGTATACGCAAGGATAAGAGGGTTGGAAATGTTCTCGCGAGAGTGAAAGAGTCGAAGAGCTGCCTGATGACTCACTTAAAGCTGCGAAACCGTTTGATGGTTGCAACAGGTGCCGTTCTCATTCTTTTCCCTTCCTTTTGATGTTTAATCGTGACTCTATTTTTCTAATCTCTCTCGCCAACTTTAATTCTAATACATTTCACACATTTATTACTTTCTCATAAATAGTTTTCATAAATTAATAAATAACGCTATTTCTAATCAGTTTAATCAATTGTGTCAAATTTCGAACTTTCCACAATTTATATAAATCGAAACATTAAAAGAAAATAGTAATTGAGAAATGTAATAAGCGTTTTTTGCAATCCGATCCGGTTTGTCTGCAATGCTAGCTTGTAATTGCCAGTGAACGAGAGCCAATGAAGATTTCATAGCGATTATATATAATGACATTAAAAAAGTATTTATTTTTATTATACACAGTATTATAGTATCATAATTATATCATAATTATATTCATATAATTTCTGATAATAATATTGGACGTAACTGCAAATACCAGTTTGTCATCCTGTATATTGTATACGCAAGGATAAGAGGGTTGGAAATGTTCTCGCGAGAGTGAAAGAGTCGAAGAGCTGCCTGATGACTCACTTAAAGCTGCGAAACCGTTTGATGGTTGCAACAGGTGCCGTTCTCATTCTTTTCCCTTCCTTTTGATGTTTAATCGTGACTCTATTTTTCTAATCTCTCTCGCCAACTTTAATTCTAATACATTTCACACATTTATTACTTTCTCATAAATAGTTTTCATAAATTAATAAATAACGCTATTTCTAATCAGTTTAATCAATTGTGTCAAATTTCGAACTTTCCACAATTTATATAAATCGAAAAATCATTTCGGCCGCTTAAATTCTCTCAGGGCCAATCCATTCTTCAATAAAATACCGACAGCACTGTGTGATTGATTGACTATTCTTTGGGAAACAAATAGCTATCAATCTCGTGGGCATCTTTTCTTCCGGTTTACATCTGATTTTTTTGCAAAAATCCCGCGAAAGGCATGTGACCTTTATTTAGATATATACGAACTAGTCTGAAATTTTTATGCACGAATACTGTATAAAAATTTATTGCAGCAGCTTTTCTTCGTATTTCCAATCCTCATACTCGTGTTGGATTTCACGGTTTTCTCGTGAAAGAGATTATTTTCATTATTGTTATGAAACGTCATTATGCTTTTGACAATATTGCGAGGTTTAATAATTATCACATTGTTTCTTACGAGAAAAAAACGTTGCACAAATCGCTTATTTCAGCTCTTTTTTCTTTGACAACAAGAAAGGTTTACCCATCACTCAGGTGTCAAGTATCTCAAGGATTATTGGATTCCTCTCCGAAGAGAAACTTTTTTTATTGATTTCGTCGACAGAATTTTATGTCCGCAAATATGAAAAATGATTAAAAATGTACCTGACTGCAAATGCACAAGAAATACGTAAATAAAAGATGCGCAAAAGAAATATTAAGTTTCAATAGTAAATAAAGAAGAAAATAAGATACAAGAGCGCATGAGAAAGAAATTAAATAATGTTCTGACTTTTTTTATCTGACTTTTTACAAAAGTTAAAAATATTCGAATTTTATGCGCTTTCTCTGCTTCTCGTCATGCTAAAGTGAGCAAGCAAAATCTTTTGCAATATTACAAAAAAATGGTGAGGCGAAAGAAAATGTTACAAAGAAAAGTGTATGACAAAGAGGTTGCTTTCAAATTTTATTTGGGTTAACCTTTAAGCATCGATGCGGAGGATGTTGGTGTACATGAAATTCTCATAAAATTTAGACAGTATTATTCTTTAAAAGAACTACTTTATATAACGCATCAAATAATATTATATAACAATTAAGTTCTTACATAGATACGCACTCTATTATTCGATATACACGCGAGCACTAAATTTACGAAAATACGCACCAGAAATTAAAAGTTGAATATTATTAATTTTGAAATTATTTTGATTGCAATATGTTCAATATCTACAATATAAAATTGATTCATAATCTACACGTTGCAGCGCGTATGCTTACTATTAAGTAGTTTATTATTAAATATCGGATGTAGAAGGAACTCGTATAGGATTCACATTTGTATAGTAATAATATTGATGGAACACAGACTTATAATATGTAATTGAATTGGACATTGGTAAAACCAGATGCGTTTGTGTTCCAATGAAAAAGACTTAATGTCAAACACAGCTTCATTTTCTGTAGAAATAACTACGTGGACTATCTGGGCGTTTCGTAAACACATGACATTTTGAATGCATAAATGGAGAAAAAAAATACCAAACAAAATACGCGCTTAATATATATTCTAGTCTAGCATGTAGAAATATAAATTACATTTTGTTGTAAATATTTGTATTAAATTTGGACATTCATTGAAATGATAAATCTTTGTAATAAAAAAAAAAAAAAAAAAACGGCACAGCGATTTAATTTCCGCTTTTTTTGGCACGTCAAAATTTTTTCAACCAAGTTATTATAGGTCAGACTCATATCGTGACGACGTCCCTTTAATTCTGATGAGACGACACATAATGGACCGGCTTCAAATTCACGTCAAATAAAGCAGAATACTTGGCCGATCCACATGATAGACATCATTTGTTCCGATCGACGAGTGCGATGATCTCTCGTACCGTATCTTTCATGGTCTGATTAACATTCCGTATGCGTCATTGGTATCAATCATCGATGGCCCATTCAAGAAATTATATCATAAGCATTTTGATTCACGCATTTTTTAGATAAATAAGTGTAGGCTGCTGCTCCGGAACGATATCTCGACCCAAATTTTTCTTTTAAAATGTTCAACTAAATTTTCTCTCTCTTCCTCGTACTCATAAAGTACGATAATCCTGATCATCTTGAAAGATACTTATGGAATATAGAACACGCTTGGTAAAGTCGTTGGGGTAATATCACGCTTAACTCTCAATAAGAATCGGGATTACATTACGTTCTATAAGAAATTTTATTTATACGATATTATAATATATATTA